CCTTGGATACAGCCTTAAAATCCTCTTGGCTGCTTTGTAGTTTCTGAAGCAAATCCCTTTTCTCTTGCTCTAATGCCTCAATATTCTTCTTCAGTTCCTCCATGTTGTTTCAGTCTTTCTAATGTTTTTATTAACTCAAGAAGCTGACAGAGGTCCGGGAACTTCTCCAACTGTTGAACTGGAGATTTACTTTTATTTTAAGGAAGAAACAGGTAAAATCTATTTGGTACAATCTGGGATAAATATTCTAGCACTGTGACAGTTGATAGCCAAGAGTCTCCCTTGACAATTGAGATATCCTCAAGATGAGCATCATCTGCCATGAATGCAGAAGACAGTCTTTGGCCAACCATGCCTTTTCACTCTTCCCCTCTCACAGGCTATAGTCCTTCTCCAGCCTGACAGGCATACCTATATCTTCTGGACTGGGATTACGATACCCAGATGATTCAAACAGCAGGTACTTGGAGTTAGGGAAAGCCGCTTTACAGTATGTTAGGAACAAGCCATGTAAACTGAAATAAATCACAGCTCAATTATGCAAATTTAGCACCTTTTTAAAAGGGGAGGTCCTACAAAGCCCAAGATGAGACTCAGCTGGAATAGCTTGCACCAATTATTTCATAAGGGCTGGGTTTGCACAACCTGCTAATCCATAAAGCGTGGCAAATGAACATAATTGTTACATTCCCACAACACACTATGCCCAAACAAGTGAAATGTATTACAGTTTCACAGGATGGCCCAGTTCACACAAGACTAAGACACAATATGCCTTGCTTAGATTAGTAATTATGGTTTGTTTAGGCACAGCACATTGTATAAAGTGCATCATGAGTTCCCTTTATTCTCCCAGATCAATTTACCTGATGGTTCTAAGCTGTGCTCTGTTTGGGCTCAGCCAAATAGAGGTGATATTCCCATATCCTGCCGAGCTTCCGTAACATAAATTACTTAATCATAGCTCAGTGTGTAGTCTAAGTACAGCCACTGTGGCTTATAAAACATGGCTTACAGCTTAATATGTTGCACAAAACCCACTTAATTATAGTTTATATAAAAACCATGCTTAAACCACAGCTTGGCACATCTGTATATCAGGCATAGACTACATCACCCCAAGAAGAAGTAAAAGCACAATGTGGGGGCAGGTTGCTCACCATTCAAGCAACAACCAAAACAGCCTTCCTGAAAAGCGTTTCCACTACTTTGTGGAAAATGAAGACAAGATTCTTCCCTCTCCACACGACCCCTCTACTTACCAGCTAAAAGAGGAAACCACTCTGATCTTAAAAGGATCTCCTCCCATCTATAAACACCTCTTTCCCCCTGGAGGTCTAAGGGCCGATTTATACCACTAACCAAACTTTCTGTGGGAGGCACCAGTGAAGCCACAGGTGGGGAAGATAACAGGTTTGGATGCTTTTATAAGCCAGGTGTTCCTAGATATTAAGGCATAGCTTTGGGGAATGTGTGATCTATCTCTTTTGGAAAAGACAATATTTTCTACTTATCGAAGGATGAAGCCTTATGTACTACTGCAGCAGAGACTTTGTGACATTTTACAGTAATATTTTGAATTGATCATATTATAGCAGCACATGGTACTTATTAGTAAACCAAGGATTATTGACAATTACAATATATAAGGTGTGGGGGTTCCTTAATCCTTTTCTTTCTTTTTCTTCCTTCCTTCCTTTTGTGGTTTCTATTTTTCTTCCTTTAAAGACCACTTAACAGACAAAGATTGTTTTGCCAATTGCATGCGTGTGTTTTAGTGTATTTTAGTGTTTTGTCAATTTTATTTTTGTAAATTATGAATAAAGTTTAAAAATTAGCCAAAATGAAGTCTCCTTCCTGAAAAGTTTCCTTTTTCTAGACATGTATGAAGATGTAATTTCAATAGATGAATATTCAAAGATGTACTGCGTGCTATTATGTTGCAATAGCCCGTGACAGAAGAGATCTTGCCACTGGATTCAGAGGTGCGGCGGATGCTGGACTTCAATTCCCAACCTGCCTGCGCAAGGGTTCCCCAATGGAGGTTCTCAGCTTGCCAGATATTGCCAACCTGGCTACTACAGAAAAGGCCCCTCTACCCATTAATTAGAATGTAATTTGTGCTGGGTTTGTAGTGGGAGGGGGCTCAGATCCTTTACCTATGCAGCAGATTAGGGCATGAGGTTGCTTGTGCCATCATCAGATGCGATGCAAGTGGCTGTAATGGTGCTTATTTTGTCCCCCTCCCCGACCCCAGAAGGTGGCATTTCCACGAACACCATCTCTGCCACCATCTCTCCCCTCCTGCATAATGTACCCTATCAGTTTCTGTCTGGGCAATTAGGGTTGGCCTGTTTAATATTTTAGACTAATGCATTGAGCAAAAGAAATATCTGTGGTTTTTACTTCAGTATGTTTTGTAAACCTAGGATATTAGGCTGAACAAACCATGGCTTAACCATATTTAAGCACATTGTTACAACCATTGTTTGTTCATCTACATACTGCCAGGGTTCATAATGGGGTGGTTGTACCAGTGATTGGATTTGAATATTGCCCAGAATGCGAAGCCTGCTGTTGAGGCTGTACACGTGTAACCAAGCCACTGGGGTTTGCTCACGACTAAAGCAAGTAATGACTTAGGACGAGGTCTGAATCCAGCCTTTCTCTCCGTTCACTTTTCCGGTACGTTACCTGCCATTTTTGTTTTATTGAGCTATACCGCTTTTGCCGACAATAAAGCGGGATAAAATAAATGACAACGTGCCCGGGATTACGCCCTTCAACTCGCGGCAGTGTTTAAAGAAACAAAAAAAACTGCGCCAAAGCAAAAAAGGTGCAGGAAGGATTCGAACCCGCACCCAAAACGGAAAAAGACAAGGCAAGGGAGAAATAACGTTCCCGGACCGCCCTCGCAGAAAGCACTTCGCGGATTGGTCCGTTTGGAAAGGAACGCCGCCACAAAGTAACCCACCGCGCAGCGAATCAGTGCCTTCCCTCGCCCCCACAGGGGGCGGGGCGGCCAAGAAGGGGCGGAGGGAAAAGGCGGGGCCACTGTGACGGCAACAGGAGACTCGCCTCCCCCCCCGGAGGGGAGGGGCGGGGCGGAGCATCCCTCCCGCGGCACGGCTAGAGGCGGCCGGCGCGCATGCGCAGGAGCGCGGCGGGGC